CCTGTTTCAGTCCATACAGGCTCTTCTTTAATTTGCAAACTAGATTTTCAGTTCCTTTGCGAAACCCCATTGGTTGCCTCATGTAGATGTTTTCACTTAAAACTCCGTTTAAAAACGCTGTAGATACATCCATTTGGTGTAGATGCAGCCCTAATGTTGTGGCTAATGTCAGTAATAAGAGCAACGATTCATATCTTGCTACAGGTGCAAACACCTCTTTATAGTCAATTCCATACAATTGTGTATTTCCTTGCACAACTAACCGTGCCTTAAAACGGTCCACTGAGCCGTCGGCTCTGTATTTAACATCAAACATCCAATGACAACCCAATGGCCGTCTTCCAGTAGGAAGGGGTACTAATTCCCACGTTTTATTACTTAAAAGGGCGTCATACTCTGTCTTTATTGCACACTCCCACTGCTTCGCATGTGGGCTTTTCCTGGCCTCCTTAATTGACCTAGGAATAGGTATTCTGGCTGTCTTATTAATAGCTACAGTATTTAACTCTGTCACGTAGTCGTTGAGCCGCACATTTGGCAGTCGTCGTCTTTTAGACCTACGAACAGCACCGTTTTGCACTCCCACTTGTCTGGGTGTCGGTGGTCGAGAGACACAATCTGGGCCAGTGGTGTCAATATCCTGCACTTCAACTTCTAGATTAGGTCTAGTTCTTTTACCTAGGCCTTGAATTACCTTTTCTTCTTCAACGTTGACGCTACAGTCCTCGATAGGGAACGATCGACTGATCATTGCTTAAGTACCAGCTGAGCTAAACTTTACATCACGGGCAATAAGGTATTTATTAGCCTTAATGTCCAGGAGTCGGTACCCTTTATGTTTAGGCGAAAATCCCAACAACTTACATTCTATAGCCCGATCGCCTAGTTTAGGATCCTTTCGTTTTGACTTTGGTATATGCGCATAGCAAGTGGAGCCCCAAATTCTTAACTCTAACCCCTTTGGTTTATGGCGGTGCAGTAACTCATAAGGGGTTTTCATTCCCAGTCTAGCCATTGGTAGTCGATTAGTGACATCCACCATATAAAGTAGGGCCTCAGGCCTCCATTTAGCAGCCATATTAGCACCCCTAATAGCACACCTAACACCAGCCATCATGGTCTGGTGGGCTCGCTCAGCACTGCCATTTTCTTCTGGAGATTCAACATTAGAGCTTTCAAACTGTAAGCCCAATTTATCGCATATTTTGGACACTTCAGTGTTTATAAATTCTGTTCCACCATCAGTCCTTCTTCTTCTGACCTTATAAAGAGGAAATTGACACGACAGCTTCCTCAATAAAGACTTAATTTTCCCAGGTACCTCTTTTAAGGATTTTACGATAATGTACCACTTATAAGCAGTGGCGTCATCTACAACAGCCAATGCGTATCGGTACCCAAAAGATCCGTATAAACCGTTAACTCTTAATCGTCCGGTTGAATCCATATGAAGTGTATGTAGTGGTTCATTACTCTTATTTCCCACCAAATTTCTATATGACATTCTTTTGTCCTTCATTTAAGCGCACGTTTTACAGAAAACGAGACCTTCTTAAGCTCTGAATACGAAATATGAGGAAGACCCTCAATTTTCTGGTTGCTGATAGTCCTAATTAGACGTTCCTTACCGACATGACCCAGTCTTAGGTGCCACTCCTTTAAAAGGTTAGCTAAGTTACCACTCTGAGTGCTAAAAACACGCCTTTTAATTGGTTTAATACTCGGTAAGTAATAGACTTCTCCTATTGCCACTGCTGCAAAGAGCAAATTTTGGTCATTCCCTATAAAAAATAGAAATTCACCTGATTTTGACTGAAAGTGCCTAAATCCCTGTCGAGCTAAATAGTAGGCACTCAACAAGTTACTATCACACTTACGGTCAAATGAGACATCACTTAATGCTAATACACTCAACCTCTTTTTAGGGTTTAAAACGGTAAGCTTTATTGATCCCTTTAGTGAGCTATGAGAAAAGCTCCCGTTTCCGTAGGTAAAATTGTGGCCCTGACTCGGTTTTAGGCTCCCACTAAACCAGCTTCGATCTGATGTTATAGCTCGGCCTGCACCAGTATCAACCACCCACATATCATCGGTCAGTTTTAACTTCTTCAAGGCTCTCAAATAGGAGTGATGCTGCTTACGTACCTCCTCTTCGATGTCGTCCATTTGTAGTGGGGACCTGACAGGGGTATTCGGCACGTTGCCACCATCCTCAAAACCTTTATGGTAGGCGGAGTCCAGATCCTCAATGTCGTCCATCTCCTCGTCCTCAATGCACTCTTCCAGAAGAGTCTTCCCACACTCATTTAGGCGTTTTCCCCTTCTAGCACCACCGATTTGAGGGTATTAATCGGGGTTGTCTTCGCCTTCTTGGCCTTCTTAGCACCCGGTGCAGTGTTGATATCGGTCCTAAAAAAGGGTCCACCTTCGCGGTTAGGATCCCTATCAGCGATCATCCCGGAACAGTCCGATTTAAAGCGTCCACTCTTGAGGCAGTACAAACACCTTTTTCCACCCTCACCTGCACCGCTTTTTCTCTTGACCCCGACATTGTTGACAGGAATCGCTTGGGTTTTATCCATTAAACCCACTTCTTTCTTGGATCGGTCACCAAAGGTCTTGCGTAAGTCCACTTCGACCCTATCCACCGTGAAGTCCTCTTTCTTCATGGAGATCGCTAAAGCCCAAAATTCACTTGGGAGTTGTGACAGGACTTCGATGCACAGCCAAGACTCGGTCACCATGTCCTGGCCGAGCAGCTTCCGAGACTTTCTGTTAATCTCGTTCTTTGCCTTCTTAAGTTGCGCGAAAAGTGTCCTGAAGTCACGCCAAGGGCTACGCAACACCTTCAACCAGGCCCGGGTCAGCTCAATCAGGCCCGCAGCGTCACCTTGGCCGAAGTCCTTCTCGAGAAGTCGAATGACTTCACATGGGTCCATGGAGGACACCACATCGGGAAGGGTAGAGAGAAAGAAGTTTGGAAGGACCTGATTGAGCAGGTTTTGTAAGTCGCCCCTTCCTCTCATCCAGTGCATCACGCCCCACCGCACCGAGAGCACCTCTTGCTCGTCCATTTTGGTGGTCGGTGGTGCTGGCTTCTTAGGATTGTCCCGCAGGAAGTCGGCCATGAGCACCTTCGCTTCAGGCTGTTCCTTCTCTAACAGCTTCGTTTGGTACTGATGGTCCAACTGATTGACGTAAGTCAACAGCTTGTCCTTCCACATAGTGTAGGACTTACCATTAAATTTCTCGAGGCCACCACCAGTCTTAGCAATAGCAGCCATTGAGAAGTACTTGAAATGTTTCTTACACACGTAGTTGGTAGTTGCCGTCAGTTTTGGATATGAGGTGGCATCACATGGCCACCTCTCCACCACATCCCTCGGCTTATCTTAAGTTGGGTGGACGCTGGCCTCTTTCCTTCAGCCATTGCCCTTATTGACATTTATCCAATCAAATAGACTATTTGCTTGCCTTTTAACCTATCATATTGCACAAACCGAGTATACAAACTCAAAGGTATTGCGTCGCAACAACCGCCCTTGTAAGCCCGAAGACGAGTGCAAAAGCGCTATATAGTGAACTCCAATTTAACCGTACTATACTATCAGTACACGTATAAAAGTCGATGCTATTCGGACAAAATATGAACGGCGTTACCGCAACCATACTATAACAACTTTAACGACTAAAAGCAGCCATAGTGGACGGTAATTTATTGTAGTCGCCAAATAATTTACGCAGCTCATCGCTGGATTCTCTAAAAAATAGAGATGGAACTGACACACCAGATTCGAGAATTCCACACACACATTTTGTTTTAAACCACTTATCATGTTCACAGCTCTGAGTGCCTCAGATGGGCGAGAAAACATTGGCGCGCGAGTTGGCCCGCGCTAGACTTGACGAGCTCGCGAATGAAGCAAAAGCTGGAGACACTGAACAGGGAGCTGGTGAGGCTGCTGGAGACTCAGCTGAAGCTCCACGCCTCGATAGAAGACAGCAGTTACGCGTTAGCAGCAGCTTTGAGCTACAAAGACGAAACTGTCCAAGATGGTGTTGTTTTTTTTCGGGGTTCTGTTGGAGATGGTGGTCAACAAATTGAAAGGTTAAGAGGAGCGTTTGAAAGGCGTTCGTATTCTTTTATTGAACAATGCAGAGCCATGACTTATTTGAGTTCATCTTCCAGCGTTTTATTGATCTCTCTAGTTGTTTCAGCATCGGCTTTAGTCATAATTCGCTCATCGAGATGCATCAAAATGACCCAAAGCATTCTCAAACGCATTACCTCGACATCATTCTTCGAAACGTTGTAGATCTGCCTCTGCATGTTTCCAGTCAGATAGCTGTAAGCTTGAGCCACCACCAAAACACCACAGGTAGATCCGTCTGGCTGCTCAGGAGCTTTTATCCACTCGATTGGATTAATTTTAAGAGGGACATTATCCGCCGTAGGTCCATGCTATCGCTAAAGAAAGCCACGAATACCTTCTTTTTCAGCAATATTCTTCTCGTCATCTCTTGCGACACCTTCCCAAACGACCATCAAATCATCATGGTATTCCTCATCAATCAAAGGCTCGTACATGTAAACTTGCACCCGCAAAATCTTTTTCGGTGTCTCCACATAGCTCAGATGAATAATAATGATGCCCCAGTGGCTCGCTTTCATGATCACAGGGTTGATGATGTACTCGTACTCTCCCAGCGGTGTACACGGGGTCCTCGGCCATATCAATACCCAAGAAAGCGATGATAACGCGAGACACTTCTCTCTCGATTTCACTATCATTTGCAGACAGAAATCGATAGGACTGTCATTCAGCCATCCTCGGCATAGTCCACCCGCAATATTTGCAAAGCTGATTAAACCTCCACCAGACAGCGTGACAAACTCAGTGCGAAGGCGGCAAGATGCATACTTTGAAATAACTTCGTTGGCCAATATCTGATGGCGTTCGGAAACCGCGGTTCCAGCAATTCCACAAGTTCTCGTCTCCTCAGTTCACGCCCGACGGGACCTTACGCCAATCGTGTTCCAGCCATTTTCGGTCTTTGATCCAAGATTTAGTTCTGGTCTTTACATCGTAGAAACCTGCTACGCAGTTCACAAATTGACTAGCAGCAAATAACATTTAAAGCAACCATAGTACATCAGCCATAGTTTAGCAGCCAAAGTTTAGCAACCATAGTATGGCAAGCATACTTCAATAGCAATCTTTACCTGCTGAACTTCCAAAGCTTGGTGTCTATCGAAGCAACGACGTCGAGGACGATGCCTTGATTTTTAACCGTGTCAGCCAGCTCGTCGGGTTTTATCAGCTCTTGCCTTGCTGTGGTTATTGCAGCCTGCACTGACCTCATCAAATCCGGCGGAATTGTAAAATTGTGCATATAAGACGCTGGGCGCTGCGCTTCCCATTGACAACTAACGGTACGACCTCGCAAGTACAAATCATATAGCTGAACAGGATATTTTCAAGATCCCCGCAACGTACTTCAAATTCGGCGTGTTTCGTGCGCAAACGAGAAGTCGGTCGAGTGATACGGTGAGACCGCTTGGATACTTGTGTACTGCTAATCTCACTGGAAGCTTCGTTTGGGTAAGCTGCTTGGACGTTGTCCGGGGTCTTCCGCGACGCTTTGGTTTTGGTACATTAATAATATCAACTTGACGCGCATATTCTACAGCAGGGCGCGAATCTTCGTTAACATCATCACTCCGACCGCTGCTTCTGGCTGTTCTTCGTTTTTCATCCGTTAGCGTTACCTTTTTTTTTTTTGCGTCGGCGGCACTTCATCATCATCTGTATTACATTCGCCAGTATCTTCAGTATCTGCTCCCTCTAGTACATCCATCAATGTAGCCGTTTCAATCGCATCTAGTGAGGATATTGTGTCGGGGTCAAACAATGCTTCATCTTTGTGTCCACCTGCATCCTGACCAGCTTTCTTGTCGCTCAGCCCCGCATCAATCAACTCTTCCATGCGTTAAGTTCATCATAAAAATCCGTAGCTGATAAATTGGATAGATGCTCTAGAAGTGGTTTATAGCATCGACTTCGCGTACGAATACTTTTCCGTAGACGAAAGCACGACTTGGTTTGCACTCTCGCGCCGCCGCAGCCGAACATACACGACTTGTTTGACGACTTGAGGCGGTTGAGTTGCATTCTGCTCACTTTCATATGGCAACCTTACTTTGGGTAACCTTAATTTCGACATACGCACCATAGGCTGCAGTGCATGATATGTAGAAGCTAGGTCTTCCTTAATATCCTAAGCACTGAAAGTATTCCACCGTTCGTAAATCGGAATTGCAGGAAGCAGCTTGCTCTTTGGCAGCCACATGCATAAAATGACGGCACGGTAGGCAGTTGCTGGTGTAGAATAGACAGGAACACGTCCAGTCCCTATCGTGACACGTGATTGTGCGGTTTGAACAGTATATTTTCCAGCTTGATGTGTTGGATATACGCTCACAGCTGGCTGTCTCCACCAGGGTTCACAAATCGCTCCCATTCCTTTTTGACTTTTTCCAGAATAGTTGTAGATAGCCTACCCACCACTGCCCTTAAGAATTTATGGAGCGTTCTCGGCATTCTCGACGTTGAATGCTGACGGCCGATCTCCGATACAATTTGCTGTGTTATTGTCATCTGATGCTGGAGCAAAGCTGCTATGGTCTTGTCAATTCTGTGTTTTTAGTCCCAGTAGCATCTTTAACTGATTCCAGTTAGACTCGATGCGGTTCGTAGTAGTGTTTCCCGCACTAAAGTGTTTTCCACGTGCAAAATTGGACCACATCGCGCTACACGTATTCCAGTTCTTGTCAAAGTAGGGAAATGGCTTGTGTCTTGTTATTCATGCAGTACCGCTTGAGGGCTTTGAAGCTGACTTCGTACGCATCTGACGTCTGGCTAATTGTAGCACAAATAAAAAGGTTATTTAAATTATCACTGAGTTATACCCACAAATACTTACGAATACAGCAACTTTATCATCAACTTGAGAAGCTCCTCACGTTCCGCTGCCTTAATCCTATACACGGTACGCTTGGTCACCTTTTTCCAATATGATATGGCATGAAACTGGCGCAGCAAAAAAAAATTGCTTGTGGAAAAGATTCCTCCAGAACTCTCCATTCTGTGAAATCCTTGTCGATCACTATTGTTTTGACTTCCCGCCACAGCACATTATTTTCCTTGGCGTACTTCAAAATCGTCGAGATAGTGTCCGCCTGCTCGTTCAGGCAAATGAAGTCGACAACTGGGAAACCTCTTCCAGTGGCGGTAGTGACGACCGAACTCCCTGCAAACCAGTAGCAACACCAATAATTAAAGTTGTTTTTAAAACTTTATGGTTGCTATATCCATATTGCTATGGTTGCCATAATTGTGGTATTAAAGCCCAAGCACAACCTTGAGACTACACGTACCCAAATGATACTCGAGGTTGTTCGTGCCGTGCGCGAAGTCCATCGCCAGCGTTTCGCCCCACCGCTCGAACATCAGCTTTTGAACCTTTGTCTGCATGACGACCCCGCAAGCTATACCCATTTGATCTTGCAGCACAAGTACGTCGCTCCCATCGATCTGACGAAGACAATGGAGCATGTTCTTTAGGCGATCCTCGCCAGTATCCTGACCAGCAATACTGCGAATAAGATTGCGTGTCTGCTGCGGTGTTACTTTGCAGAATAAATATGGCCAAGCACGAAACATAAGATAAATACCAAATTACAAATTCAGACACATGCACCCTACCCATGCGATCACTTAGGAAATTTGCAATGTGTGTGGACGACACACAGGCGTCAGCCAGGGTTTTCACGTCGTCGCGGTCTTGGTCGTCGATTCACAGAGTCTTCGTTATAAGATATGTCGAAGCTTGGGTAGAAGACGTAGGATGCGAGTGCGTACAGTTCTGTAGTCATGAACCTTTAACAGTTAATTGACAATAAAAACAACAACGATGAATACCAGATTGCATACCTCGTTCCGGATAATGATCGCATACGTGCTGTCATCTTGTCGAGAAACAGTGGGTGTGAATCGCGCCTTGCAACCGCAGTATCGTTCCGATGGCCCTTTGACCGTGACTCTTGCGAAACTCCGTGTGTGGAGCGATAAACTTTGTGTGTCCACGGAAAGTCAGTCGGGATCTGTTGATCGTGTGATCTGATTAGCAACACCACGTCTCTGTTAAATACTGCATTTTAGGAGAACAAACACGACGCCGTACCTGTTGTAGAGAGCCGTCGTTTCCGAACTCCGTACCCGAAACTTTAGACTGTTCTTCCGCTTGTATTCTTTGAAGGCACTCTCAAACTTTTTCCATGATTCTATGGGCTCCGATGGGAAAGGGGGAATGGCGTTTGTAATTTTGTTCTTCGAGACCAGCGAATGCAGCTCTTCAATGTGCTTGCTTGAGCGTTTTCTTGGTACAGTCGTGCACCTCCAATTCGGCACCGGTATCAGTCAATACCCTGCCAGATTTTATGATTACGCGAATCGGATGCGCAATTACCTTTGCCCATCACCACCCTAGCATTTAACCTCAACGGGGTTTTCCTCCTCGCGGAGGGATGACACGCCGCATCGATCTGATTTTAAATTTTGGTTCGGACGTCTTCATACAAACACACATTTTGATTCTTACCGCCAAAGACAATGGGACATCGCCCTTCCTCCTACATGTCCCTAACTCTAGCACAAAAGCAGTCTTTGTGCGAAGCACAAGTCAGATCCTGCATGCTCTCACTCCGAACTTGCTCGTTGGGCAACGGAGCGCTTTAAGACCCCCAAGCAGTAAAGCGCACTACCGTCCAGAGTATTCTTAAGCGGTTGGCGGACGTTGCCGCCTTGCTGGATGCCTATCGCGACCGGATCGGAAGCGCTGTTGCGCGCCCGCGATTCGCGCGTCTGACGCCAAGATTATGCAGAAGATTGAAGTAAATGTTGTACTGAATTAACAAAACAAATATCAGTGCACTGAATATTGCGTTTGTTTTTTGCTTTATGTTGTGCACTTATGCCCTGGCACTGTTGATATGGTCCGCCCTGCCGAATTGGAGGTGCACGACTGTATATATTGCAGCCGTTTTGATTTACCATCATCGCCACAGGCGCTATCATCCGACTGGTAATAGATTTCCTCAGCATTCCGTTTCTTTCTGATACCTTCTTGTGCTCAACAAGATTAGCCACAGATATCCAATAAGCAGAGTATAGTTGAAGCACCACAAACTTAACGCAACCTTACGGTAAATGCATAAACGATTCGTACCGGACGTCGTGCTGATCGCTTCCGACAGAGTTCTGTATCATCTTGACTTCCTCCCCAGCTTTGACTGCTTCCACACCCTTATCAATCGTGACAGCGTGTTCTTTCAGGTGGTGCTCTTTACACAACGCACAATTTGTTAAAGCTTAACAAATGTTTCAGCTGAAATGATAGGCCAAAGTCGTACCCGTGCGTGCGGCAGAGTGCGCAACCAAGCAATCAGATAAAACTCCCTTGTCTTCTTCGTCAGGGAGATATTCGCCATCGTTGGTATCATCCTTCGTGATACCGAGTGTAACCAGCATGTAATTCAGGTCGACGTTTTGATCCCGCCGCCGCCGCCCTTAAACTCATGCATATAAACTGTAAGATATGTCTACAAGTGCCCCTGCCTACGGCAGTTTTCCTACCATGCGCAGACGGCGTCTCCATTTGAAACGTGTATCGCCTTCTCTGGCCTCTTGTCATCTTCCCACTTTTCTTCGTATTCGGCTGACGCGTCGTTAGGTCGGTGACACCGATTGTGTTCCGTAAATGAGCGGCTCTGGCTACTCGTACTTAACTGAACAAACACGTACTTAAGTGAAACAAGTTTTAAATACGCATCTAAGAGAAAAAAAATGAAAATTAGAGCAATATTTTACGCGTGGAATTTTTAAATTTTGTTAACGCAACCATAAAGGTCTAAAGCAAGCACAATATGGGAGATTTATGGTTTCCGTAACCACTCCGGCAAAATATCGCTTGCCATCCTACCTAGAACCGGAGCTGACAAAATCAAACTTAACATTCATGGACTTAACAAAAACGTTATATTGCAGAGCCTAAAAAACTAATTTTGCAAATTCCAATTAGTTAGCTGATTTTTCTAGAAATAAGAAAATATTGTTTGGAAAAATTAGAGATATAAACTGGTGCGGAGTACTGATGTATGGACTACGTTGACTATCCAGGACTATGGACTATGATGCAGGAGTGCATGTTAGTGAAGTCTGCGCTAATGGGTACCACACCAGATGTGACAAGCGAGAGATAACTTCACAACAACAAAAAAATACGTGCCGCACGGACAGCATCTTGCTGCCTGTTTAAGAAGTTGCCGCTGAGAGTGAGCTTTCGCGCTGCGTATTTGTTGCCTTTCGCAACTGCTTCTGAGCCCAAACCTCGCTAGGGGGAAGCTCATTGTTGACGACAGCGATGGCAGACAAGAATTCTAGTGAAGAGGAGAAAAAGTTTCACCCACAGTTTGACGGCTATGATTTCGAGATTTGGCTGGAGCGGATGACCCTGAAACTGATGCGTAAGGGGCTCTTGACGTACTGCGAGAATGATGTGGACGAACCGGAGAAGCAAAAAGCTGATGAGCATACTGTTTGGGTGAAGGAGACACGTAGTACAAAAGAATACTTGTACGACGGTATGACATATAAACAATGAAAACCGCTAAACAGGAACCGACCCCGTTTCGAGTTATGCGGCGTCTGAAGAAGCGTTTTGTTGGCAAGCTGTACTTCAACTATGCGGGAGAGATGACTAAATTGCGCCGGTTGCATCTGGATCCTGCTGGTAACGTGTCAGATCACTTGAGTGGGGTTCGTCGTCTGGATCGCACTGCGGTACTGTGTAAAACATTGGATGATTACGAAAAATATAAATTACTTACCGGCTCACTACCTGCGGCATATGAACATGTGGTTAAGACGTTTTTGGCGAGTCATACACCTGCAGATCCCAATGCTCCCCCGAATTACGATCAGTTAGAGCATGCACTTGAGATGGCATACGACCGACGACAAGAGCGCAAAGCAGCTAACAAAGATGACGAAAGAAACGCTTACACTGACGGTGGTGGCAGAGGCCAAGGTGGAGACCGTGGTGGTGGTTCCGACAGAGGACGTGGCCAAGGCTGTGCTCGTGGCCGTGGTCAGGGCAGGGGAAAAGAAGTTGGTGACCGCAGTGCTGACGGTGGAGGTCGGGGTCATGGGCAAGGCTGTGGAGGATAACAAATCGGTGGATATCGTTGTTTTCACTGTGGTGAAGAAGGACACAAAGTACAGGCCTGCCTACACCTAGGTAAAATATCTTCAAATGACGACAGAAATACTAGTCGATCTAGTAAATGCGAAAAATTGAAATATGGCTCACATCCAAGTGAACATGGGGGTAACGATAGTAATCAAAGTGAAGAAAGTGCTTATGCCGAATCGAGTTTTTCCGTAGGGGATAAACAAAAAGAGGAGTTGACTGGCAGTCGGTGGTATCTTGGTCCCAGAGCTCCGACCTACCTGCATAAAGGTAAAATATTTTCAAATGACGACAGAAATACTAGTCGATCTAGTAAATGCGAAAAATTGAAATATGGCTCACATCCAAGTGAACATGGGGGTAACGATAGTAATCAAAGTGAAGAAAGTGCTTATGCCGAATCGAGTTTTTCCGTAGGGGATAAACAAAAAGAGGAGTTGACTGGCAGTCGGTGGTATCTTGATACTGGAGCTACGAGTCACATGACTAACGAAAACTTGATTTTACCTCATTCACACCACTGAGCGCTTCGGTGCGTGTTAGTGGGAATAACCGGTTTTCATTGGCTGTAGTGGGAACAGTGCAGAAAGAGCTGTTGACGTCACATGGAAAGAAGATGATTTTGCTTCATGATAAACGCTATGTTCCAGAGCTACAATCGGGCCTGTTCTCAGTCCGACAGCAAACTAGGAAGGTGTTAGTACCGATTGGGCGAGTTCAAAATTACTTTGATGACGAGAATAGAGTGTGGCGTGACAACTGCAAGAGATGATGAAACAAACCTCTACCGACTTGATGTGCTGAGCCCTACAGATACTGTAGCGTTGGTGACGACAGATGAAAGCCGCGTTGCATTGTGGCATAGCCGTTTGGGCATCCTGAAAAAATGTTTTTAATGAATTATTTCATCACTCTCGTTGGTCACTATCACATCTGGAGCTACGTGTTCCCGACCATTTCAGATGTGATTCCTGCGTGAAAGGGAATCTGACTCGAAAGGGTTTTCACGAACAGAGTAGAAATCAAGCGAAAGATTGGCTAGTCGGCGAATTTGCTCATGTGGATGTGTGGGGACCATATGCAGTGGCCTCTTTCTCTGGTAAACGACATTTTACCATATTCGTCGACGAGACTAGCCGTTTCATGACCCTGCTCTTGATGGAGTCACGCTCGGAGATCTATGGAACGTTCGAACGGTATTATGAAAGGGTGAAGACTCAACTGAACGTGCGAAGGAAAATCCTCCGTACTGACAATGCTCAAGAGCTCCAAAAGCTCGGACAAATCTGTAAGGCAAAATATGGCATGGAGTGTCAAACATACACCACAACCGAATGGCGTTGCCGAGAGAAAGATAGTGACTGTGACGGAAAGAAGGATATGTTTTTTTGTGCATTTTCAGCTCCCTTAGCAATTGTGGGCAGAAGCCCCCGTCACTGCCGCCTACTGCGTATATATTTTACCAAACGTCACTAGGCGAATGGAGATTCCGTATGCAATCTGGTATCGAGAGACGCCAGACTACCCTTGGCTTCGTACTTTTGGATGTGCGGCTTTGGCGTATACTGACAAGCCTGAAATACGCAAAATGGATGCCAAAGCTGGTGAAGTTGTATTTTTTGGATACGACCGAGAGAAACGTGGATATCGTCTATTGGACAGCCACTCCAGAGAGGCATTCTACTGCCATACAGCCATATTCTATGAAGCGAAGTCAGGTTGACTTATGGTAGAACAGTTACATATTGTTGATACAGCTTCAACGAAGTGAACGATGTCACTATGGAGAAAATCCCGGTTATACTGGATGAAGAGGCAACCAGGGATAGTGCTCGGACTGGTGGAGCTGACGAAGATGAGGTAAAAACCCTAGCTGGTGGGGCCCAGAATGAAGTGTAGCAGGAAAGCAATTATAGCGGACAGGGAGAGAAACGAGGTCAAACGAAATGTGACACCTCTGAATAGAATAAGACCCCAGAAAGAAATTGCGTGCTACCAAGCCGAGGACACGAGGTGTCTCGGAGCCAAATACTGTGTGCGATATTGACAATAATCATCAATTGGCAGACCACGTACAGCGTGAGTTGATGGCGCCGATTAGGAAGATGGCTCCTAACACACAGAAGGAGATCTGTGAAAAGAAGAGCAGTGGGCCGGAATTGATACCGGCTGCTAAAATACAGTTTCAAAGTGATACCCTTGACGAAGATAAGCCAGGTGTGGCTAATGAGGATATCTGTGCTACTTAGCGGTTTCCTACTCCGGTTAACGTACCTTGTGAGATGAAGACCACAAGACCAGAGGTGCTACTTCTTGTGGTAACACCAATGTAGAGCGCTTAACCATTTCTTCAAAGGTATGCGTTTACTGTGAAAGAAAGACTTCTGGTAGTTGAGGCAATGAGATAATCCATTAACACGGTGTGGGCATGCTTTCAAACCGCCAAGGTGACTGCGTAATTTTATTCATCTGGGGTAAGAGTATTGTAACCCAAAGGAATCAGTATATATTCGATCCTCTTATTGGAAGTGCGCTCGTGAGGCAATGCAGAAAGAGATGACAAAGATAAACGCACTAGCATGGTGGAAAGAATTCTGTTGCATTACCATGAGTGTCATTATTGAGCCCCAAACGATAAGTGAAGTCGAACAAAGCCCACAATTTATGTAGTTGAAGAGAACTGCATATACAGAATATCGCTCTTTGATCGAGAGCGAAACGTGGGTGCTGGTGCCACGAAAAAAACGCATGAAAGTATTGCGAAATCGATGGATCTTCCGTGTAAAGTACCTTGCAAATGGAAACATCGAGCGCTTTAAGGCTGGACTCGTAATAAAAAAGTTCATGCAAGCGTATGACATCGTCTACTTGTAGGTGTAATCCCCAGTAATGCAACTGGAGACCTTACGCGTCTTCTTGACGCTGTCAGCTGTCTAAAACTACAAAATGTACCAGATGGATGCCACCACAGTCTTTTTGAACGATCCCATTGATGTTGAAGTGTTCACGGAGCAGTTCGAAGATTACCTGGTTGAAGGGAAAGAGGACTGGGGGTGTCTCTTGAAAAGAGTCGCTATGGATTAAAACAAACGCCACGCGTGTGGTTTCGCTTATTAAAGTCACACTTGGAAGAACAAGGTTTTGGTCAGATCAATTGCAAGCCATGTGTATCCGTGAAAGTCATTGATGTTTTATTTGCTGTCTACGTGGATGATCTAATCCTGTTTGCACCGGCAAAAGATCTGACTTCCCAGACGAAGCAAATGCCGCAAATAAAATTCACCATGAAGGATCTTGGAGAGCTTCACTATATCTTGGGGTGGGAAATCCCAAGAAATCGTCAAGAGAGGACGGTCTTTATTGACCATCGAAATTACGCGACATCGGTGCTGGCGATATTCGGAATGAAGGAGTGCAACGGATGTAAAACGCCGAGCACATCAAATTGGATACTGAGCAAGACGACGTGCCCACCGAACCCAGATGAACAGGAGCTAATGCGAGCAAAACCGTATTGCGAAGTAGTAGGAAGCTTGATGTATCTGATGTTGAGGTCGCACCCTGATCTGTCTTGTTTAGTCAGAGAATGTAGCCAATTCTTCCAGAACCCTGGTATACTACACTGGCATACTGTAAATCGCGGACTACCATATCTAAAAGAGACACTAGACTGGGGTTACGGCTGGGAGGGATTGCATGGGTGCAAAAAAATTGGATCAACATCTGACTGCTTTTGCTGATGCTGATTTTTCGAATCGGGTGGATGATCGCAAATCGGTTGCTAGGTATCCCAGTACTGTGGAAGTACCATATCATGGAGTAGTCAAACAGAAAAACGGTGGTACTGCATACCATCGAAGCCGAATATATGGCACTAAGTCTAATCGTACAGGAGGTGATAAATCTACGGCAAATGCTGAAGAGACTCCAGATGAAACAATACAAGCCTACATACGTATTTGGAGATAATGAGAGCGACATGTTGAAAAAAAAAATATTTTTCGATTGTTCAAAGATTTTACTTGAAATAAGAAAATATTGTTTTAGAAAAATTAGAGATATAAACAAAAGCCAACACAAGCGTCCGTTCGCCACGGCATATTTGTGTGCCCACCACGCGTTTCTTGTCGCTTACAAGCTGTACATCTTGATCTTGAGGAGGATGGCCGAGACCAAGAAACCTAGAGTGGACATGACACCACCCAGAAACACCGGCAGCTTGTATCCAAGCGAGGTGTTAACGATAGCAGCACCAATAGCGTAGTTGAGGAGCTGGCCGAAGCAGTTGGCCGAGTTCAATGCCCCCACGTATATACCGATGTCCACATCCTCGCCCATCACGTGGATGACAACCGGCACGATGCAGGAGAACCAAATCGAGGAGGTCATACCCGTGATGGCAACCACGAAGACGTCGAATCCCTTGTTGTCGACCCACGCCATGACCATAAGGAGCATCTGTGGAATGGTCGACATCGTGAGGACCCACTTGAGACCGAATTTGCTCACCAGAAACGGGATACACCACGAGTAGACGTAGCCTACAATGCTGTACAGAAGATCGGCAGTCCCACCGGCGAGACTGACACCGTCGCTGTAGGCATTCTGGGGTTCCGAGCAGGGGTCACAATTATCAGCATTGGTAGCGGCTACCAATGCGGTACGGCTACCAGGTAGCCGTACCGCCATACACTTCAAGGCCGAAAAATTGCTACTTGTTTCCGTTGTATGCCGTGGAGCCGTACAACACAAAGAACAAGCCAAAAGAGTACACGATCAGCGTAGCGGGCAAATTCTTGATGCAGCGGTAGATCGAGTAGAAAGCTCCCATAACCTGAACCCAGGCTGACGACTTTTCCACTGTGCTGGGATCGAGCGGGGTCTCGTGCGCGAAGACGCAAGCGACTGTCATACAGATAGCCATCGAGACGGAGAGCATACCCATGAACCAGTGCAGCGACTTGTAAGCGGCTCCGAAGATCTCGATGTACAAAGCAAAGACAATGGCTCCGAGCGTAGACCAAGCCTGTCCAAGAGCGGCTCCGGTTGTCTGTCGGTCTCCAGCAAAGTCGGCGATAAGAAGCATAGCGGGGGTCTGCACCACATTGACAATGATGTCCATCCAGGCGTAAAAAATGATCGTGAATACCGACGTCCACGTACGGTCGGTCTCGCCGTCAGTACCGTCCCCGTGGTCCCCAAGAGCGTCACCGATATCGCGAGTGTAGCCCATAGCAATCCAACAGACCACACTGAGGATACCGGCGGCAATCAGGTACGGACGGCGACGTCCAAGACGAGAGGTGGTGCGGTCGCTGAAGACACCGATGCTGGGACCGACAATGACTCCTACTATAGGACCGATAAATTGGGTCAGCTGGACAGCGCTGTTGGGCAGCATTGTCGACAGGTACGGACCCAGAGCGGCCCACTGCGCCGCCCAAGCCATACGGACGGCCATACGCGGCATAGACACTGCGAGTAGCAGCCCAATCGACGGATGGTGCGTCGGCTTCTTGTTATCGAGCGCAGTCATTGAGCCAGGCTTGGGTGACGCGTGAAGCTCGTAACCGGGGGTGGCTGCTTGTATATCTTTCATGGTGCTGTAGCTCGAGGATTGGATGCGTGTTGTGGAAAGCAGATCCAAGAATGAACAGCACATTTACTACGTGTATCACATCAAGTTGTGAGTCCTATAATACTGATATGAGGATCTATCGTGTCGGCGTTGTTACAGACTGCAGAACATGTACCGCCGACACTACAACATGGATAATAGACGAGGACATTTTCGTCCTTGTCATAAAAAATGACGTTTTTTTTAAGTTGTACTACAAAAATCACACTTACAATTCGTGCACTTTTATAGTTGGAAACGAATACCATTCATTATCTTTGAATGCATTAACAACAGTATTGTAACGCGCGTCTGGTTTTGTCAAAACGTGTGCTTAGCGTCACTCTCAAGATGGTGAAACCACCTTTAATACTGACACACGACACAGTAACTGCGCCGGGTTGATCTAACTTAAACGCAAACCCGGCAATAGACCATGTGGAGCGTAGCGAAGCTTAGCCTACCCCGCCCCGCATGACATGTAGTTTTAAGTTTCGTTTCTTGAGTAAGTGACATATGCCTTCCTTTGTTCTCACACACCAGTACAGTAGCCGAACCGCTTCGTGTTACACCGATTTGTACAGTTAATTCCCTCGAGAAGCCTTTCTTACCTACCAGTTTGACTGCTCGTAAAATAGGACAGACTTACACAACGACTACAGTACAAAGAAAATGAGACTTAATTTCTAGATTGGACATCTGCAGTACACAGCTTTACGAGTTTCCACGAGAGGACCCTGGATGTCCCGCTTCTGGGCATATTCATTGGATTTGTCCCTTTAACTTTCTGGCAATCAAAAACACATCTGATCTGTGCACTGCGTGAAAATGCTCTCCACTGATAACTCCAGTACGTGTATTACGCGTATTGGCACGTACACGCACTGTCAATATTGCCGATCTTATAAGAATACGCGTTCTGACGACCTTTTCACTTTCTGACAAAACGTATGTGTACCCATACACGTTCTGATCATTATTTGCCAGTCGATACAGAGAGTAATGCATTAATCATAGTATTACTGTACGCATTTTGAAGACATAAAGCGGAGAAGGAGTCTGTTACTTTGAAATATATCTTACCTAGTGTGTTGAGTACATGAAATAGACTGCGTATATGTAATGTACTGAGCATGTAGGTACATGTAATAGTAGCAAATTAACACATAAATCGCTGGGTAGTTGAATCTCGCTTCAATTAGCTTGAAACGATGCTCCAGCGTATCGAAATGCTGAGCGATTTCTTGATCCTTACTATAGTAAATCCTGTCCTAAATAAACCTTAAGAAACCTGATATCCTGTCGTACATGATATATCTCAGACCCACCAAGTCCATTCCCAGAGATTACTATAGAGTAAACTTGATATTGCAAAAATGACAGACCTGATACGAAATTTTGGGGACAGCAAGTGTATATGCGTAGCCTACGACTACGTAATGGCCGTGAAAACCTGTAATTAGTGCTATGTCAGCAACCAGCAACTAGCATTGTTTGACAGCATCGATGTGTTCCAAATAGGTATGTACCAAAAATTGTAACTGTCCGGACTAAATTTTTGTAACGGGGTACGTAGCCCTAAGTGTACCCTGGTTACATGAAGTGTGACACTTCACACTTCAGGAGTATGACACGTCATACTCCGAGATATTTGGTACAAGGTACCAAGGTCGTTCAAAGCCAACCATTGGTTAAATGACATTGCATTTCTATAGGTAACTAACAGTTTGTATTAAACCCAAACTTAACCTACCTATAAATATACTCAGTTTACAATCTACCTTATTTTAGGTCACTTCGCTCTCTTTAATTAAAGAGGGGACCTGTGAACTGCCGTTCACCTGAGAGTTTGTATACTCTCGGAAGATAACTTCCTCTAGCGCAAGGTGCTGTGTGACCCCGTCACACTTGGTAGCACTAGTAGTCAATTCACGCCACCGCGGGTAGACTACCTGAACCTCTCCGAAGCTCGTTGCCATGGATAGGAACGACTTCTCCCATATGAACGACTCTCAGTTCGAGTCGGTTCGGAAGATGGCAGGCATCTTCGGGATGGAGGCCATGCAGAGCCTGGTGGTGTCAACACCGGCTGAGCAGCTCGAGCGCGTCAATGCATTCGACGCGTACGAGCAGGGCCTCATCGCGCATGTGCGGGAGAACCTGCAGGCTCCGGCGGCGGGAGCAAATCCGCCCCACCCGAAGCCAATACGGCTGAAGGTTAAGCCGTATGAAGGGAAGGAAGGCGAGAGCCTTCACTTCTGGGTCCGAGAAGTAGAGCTCGCGATGGACGCGGCTCTGATCTCGACCGAGCAACTGCGTGTTGCTTTTGCACTCTCCAACCTTAGCGGTCGTGCTAAGCGTTGGGTGTACACTCGGGAAGCAACATCCCCTGGATGTTTTACATCCTGGGCTCAGCTTTGCGAACAGCTCCGAGCCGCATTTCTCCCGGCGAACTACGAGTACCGCCAGCGTTCGCGCTTCCTCGCGTGTAAACAAGGAAGGCGCGAACTGCACGAGTATGTGCAAGAGATACGGGAGCTCACGGCGTCCCTAGTGGGAAACCCACTCAATGAACACATCAAGATGACTGTGTTCATGGACGGCCTTCGAGTGGGCCCCGCACGCAATCAGCTGTTCCGGGTGCAGTCAAGCACCCTTGAAGAGGCGATTAAAGTGGCTCTTCAGGAAGAGTACAGCCATCGCCAGGCGCGTACGCCGGCCTCAGCGTGGCCTGGGAGTTCCTTGTCGGCCCCCGGTCGAACAAGCCCCAACGGACCAGTTCCCATGGAGCTCGGGTCCGCCGAACAGCGTGACATCCGCTGCTTCGGCTGTGGGAAGATGGGCCACTTCAAGCGCGACTGTCCCGCGGAAAGACTCCGCAGACGGTCCTTCCCCAAGCCCGTCCTCAAGGGTCGCTGGCAGAAGCCAGGATCCCGGGGACAAGGGAACGCAGAGAACCAGTAGGGGCGGGGCGCCCTACTGGGGAAGAACTAAGTCTTCGTGATGGGTGCGCGGGTGGCGCGTACCACGGGGACTTAGCCCTGAGAGTCTTCGCACTCTCGAATCGGCAAAGAGCAGCGGCGGGTTGCTCGTAGTACACGGATGTGTACGGGGATACGATCATCCCTTTAGAATCTTGATTGACTCTGGGGCGTCGAAGAGTTTCGCACGCCGCCAGACGGTTGCTCGTAACAGCAACCAGTTGTCTGATGCTTTGAGAGAAAGCAAGGGCAACGGGACGGTGTCAGTGCGACTGGCCGACGGGAAGGTCGTCACTGTCCCCAACGTCCAAGTGGATCTGGCCGTCAAGTTTAAGGACTTTGACAGCCTCGAACAGTTCACTGTTCTCGATATGGATCCATATGATATGATCCTGGGCATGCCCTGGCTTGAGAAGCACGAGCCCTGGATCGACTGGCGAGGCAAGGCAATCGGTGCCAGCCGCCCTGCGCAGTCCGACAGAGCATTGGTGAGTCATGTTCCCACCTCTGTCAGGACCCGGGGCGCCCGCGAGGGCTGCCAGGGTACCAAAGCGTCCGGCAGATGCTTGGGAGTCGTCGACGTATATGACGACTCCGAGGATGTTTTGATGGTGGCCGCGCCCAGAAGAGGCGCTGGCCAAGTGGGTAACTTAGGTCCACAGGCGGGTAACTTAGTTCCGCAGGCAGCTGCAGCTGTCATGAACACTGAGAACAGCGTGTTCAGAGTGGGTAACAGAGTTCCACTCACGGTCGCCCAGACGATAACTGAAGAGGAAGACGTCGGATACGCTTCCTGTGTGGGTAACACAGTGCCACACGCGGTCGCCCAGACCTTAACTGAAGAGGAAGGCGTTGAACACGCTTCCTGTGTGGGTACAACAGTACCACACGAGGCCACGAGTGCCTCGGATGTCGTAGCAACGACATTCCTAGACGTGGGCAGCAAAGCTCCCCGTCACAGACGCCGTCGACAAAGACGCCGCCGCCGCCTCAAGTCGGATCCGAACTTCGTTCCGATCGACGTCTCCTCAAGCGACTCGGAGTCCAGGGCCCGGGCTCCTCCGACGAGGCCGGTGGAAGAGTGTTATCACTTCTTCGATGGCGAGACAGGTTTACCCGTCAAGGCATCTGGTGTCCATTTGGAACCGTTGCCAGAGGTTGCAGAGATACTGAACCTCGAGGAGATGACGGCTGAGTCTTTCCTGGCCAACCTCAAGGCTGGAGAGATTGCTGAGATGGTACTCATGAGACCTGAGACCACTCAGGAGGAGCTGAACTCCTCCTCTGTCTTGGACGAGAACGTCCTGGAAAACATGAACAAGCAGCGTCAGGCGCGCTTGGGTTCTGAGATTCTCAAGAGCCCCAAGGATCCGGTGTATCCTTTGGTGACGGAGTATGCGGACGTGGTGAACAAACACCCACCGACCCAACTCCCATCGGATCGAGGCGTACGGCACGAGATTGATCTCGTGCCCGGCACAAAGTATTGTGTCACGAGGCAATGGCCTCTCCCGCACGAACAGTGCGAGGTCATTGATGCCTTCTTCGCCGCAAAAGCGAAGGCAGGCATGGTGCGGGAATCGAAATCCCCGCACTCGACGCCGACTTTCTGCGTTCGTAAGCCAAACGGAAAGTGGCGTCTGGTTCACGCTTATAATAAGCTGAACAACGCAACGGTGCCGGCCCAAACACCGATCCCACGAAAGGATGTGTTGTTGAATAACATGGCCGGGAGCGTACTGTACAGTGCGCTGGATTTGGTAGACGGATACTACCAAATCCTGATGAGAGAGAGCGACATCCCGCTCACCGCGGTAAGTACTTCAAGCGGCATGCTTTGGGAGTGGCTCGTCATGCCGCATGGCTTGTCTAACGCCCCGGCGACGATCAATCGCCTGGTGACGCAATTGTTCGCCCTTTGCGTACCTTCGTACAGACGTACTTCGACGACATTTTCGTCCATAGCCGTGCCGAGGGAGGCAAGACGGCCATGGAGGTGCA